GGGGATATAAAGAAGCATTTCGGGAAGAGATTCCAAGATGTGAAGGACCTGATAACCAGGATACCAGTAGGGTGATAATATTATCATTAGTTCCAGGTGCTCTTAAGGCACCCAGTGAAGGTGAGGCTGTGTTTTAAAAGACAGGAAAGAGTGGGATTCTTGTTTGAATCAGAGTGAGCTTCTGGATATCTCTGCCATAATGATGAGGGTACTAAGAGGGGGCTCTTTACCAGCTGTCATAGAGCTCAGGGCTCCTTCTGTCTTCATGCTCACACAGAACTTTGCAAATGTTCAAGTACTGCACAAAATCTTTGTAGATTCGAAAGTTTTCTTTCTCTTTTCTTTAGTCATCTAGTCTATGGCATTGACACTCAGAGTCTTAATATTCCTACACAAAGTCTAATGCTTAGAAGATCAAAGTGTAGCTTCTTTAAGATACTGATTAGCATCAAAACAGTATACACATTAGCCTTATTTTAACAACATATTCTATAAGCAATAATAATATTAACAAGATTAAAACTTCAAAAAAATGTTAAGTTTCTAGCACCATCAAGCACCACATAGGATCAATGAAAAGGTCAAAGACATGCATTCCATCATAAAACTACATTGATATTTTTTAAATTGGGCAAGAAAATCTACCTCCAATAATAAAACCACAATAAATCACACTCCATCTTAAAAACTGTTCATTTCTAAACCACAGCTATTCTTGATATTGTTCAAGTATCCATTGTTTTTCAGTAACTATATAGCTAAGCATAGTTCAAATCAGATAGATAACCCCAAAATGACTGCAAAACATCTCACACACACCCACACACATGAAGAAAAGCTCACTCTACATTTCATTAGTAAGGTTTTTAATATTCAATCACCAAGAATTCTGGTGATAAACCAGCATGGCCTTTTGGTCTCTTCCCCCCAAAAAAATGTTTTTTCTCTCATTCTATAATTACTTTTAGTAGCCCAGCATTGCAAAGAAAAAGAAAACTCTTTTTGTGTGTAGCTTGTTTTTCACAACTTCACATATAAAATAATTGTTAGAATGAAACATATTTAAAGTAAAAGTAGATTAAATTAAATCCATGGAAATGGTTAATTTTATTAACTTCGTACAAATTATATTTTCTTTAAATATAGAAAATCATAAAATCTAACCCATCTTGACACAGCTTGATAAAAGTACTCTATAAATAAAGTATGCCATTATTAGGTAAATATTGATTTTTTTTTTCTTTAGAGGTATTTATGGTACATGAGAAACACAAATACCCTGGCCTATTATTGTCCACCTGAAGTAGTCCATAATGGCTAACCAGCAGCAAACACAAAGTCATAACTATCCTCCAAAAAGAACGACCCCAAACTCACTGCCATCAAGTCAATGTCAACTCTTAGTGACCGTTTAGGACAGAGTAGAACTGCTTCTGTGAGCTTCCAATACTCCACCGCTTTGTGGGAGTAGAAACTCCCATGATTCTCCCATGGAGTAGCTGGGGGTTTCAAACTGCTAAACTTGGAGTTGGCAGCCCAACACATAACCACTATACCACCAGGGCTACTAGAATTATCCTGACATATCATTTAAAAGTTTTATTGAAAAGATTTTATAGATAACCTACCAAAAGAAAAGCAGTGACCAGTAAAATATGATTATATTTTACATCAGCTAACATATCACTCTTAATTCTTCACAAACACAAACCATCTCATTTCTTCCTTATTAACAATCCTATGTGCACTGGAATGTTTTGTTTATCTTGGCACAGCTTCCTTTGTAATAAGAGTAAGCCTTCTAGTAAGCATTTCCTTTTGAAATTCTTTAAATAAAATGAACCACTTTTAAATTTAAGAATCCTAAAGAATTTTAAGTTATTTTGGAATGGCTTTTTTTCTACTAGGGAAGGGAAATGTGAAGAAAAACAAAAAGCTATAAAGCTATGTTTTTGTATTTGTTTATTAGATAGACTTCCAACTCCATGGAATATACTTCTAATTCCAATTCACGGAGTACTATATTTAACTCTTCTTGGATGTTAGCCTCCTGATAGATAAAATATAAATAGCATATACTTGCAGGAGAAAGATGAGGCTTTCTACTCCCATAAAAAAGTATAGTTTTGGAAACCCACAAAGACATTTCTACCCTGTCCTATAAGGTCACCATGAGTCGGAATTAACTCAATAGCAGTGAGTTTGGTTTTTAGTTTGGATGTTAGCCTCTTGATACATGAAATATAAATAGCATACACTTAAGCAGAAAGTTCTGCATAATCCTATACCACAGCAAAGAGCTTCATATTTATGCTTCAAAATTCAGACATATTTATTACATAATAGCATGATTATATAAACACAATAGACTTGTTGATTTTTATTAGTTTGATGAAGTAGTATAAAGCTGATAGTCAAGTTTATAATTCTGGAATTAATGGGCTTAAATATTCAAGTTGCTTTAGCCAATATATAAGAATAAAAGATTGAGTTTCAATCTAAAGTTTATTTGTATCAAAGTACAAATATTTCCACTGACAAGAATTCTCTAGAATAAATCCAATGTGAAAATCTCTTTCTTTAGGACATAATCCAGGTATCATATCATTCAATAATCCAGTCACATCAAGCAGGGTCACTATATCACAATCATTTTCAAAACATTTTCTTCTTTGTACTCTTTTAATATCAGTTCCCCATTATGCCTCTCCTGCCATCACCCCCCAGCACCCTTATAAATACCATCACTACTTTTGTATTGATGATTTAATTCACTATTTATAATTTTAGAAAGCAGATACATTTCTTCCTACTTTCAAAAATATTTTATACTTGAAGTAACCTTTGATTTTACAGCTACTCTCAAATTATAATTTTGAAATATAGTTAGCTATTGATATATTGATTTTGGTTAGGGCTCTTTTTTTTCATCATTTTATTGGGGGCTCATACAACTCTTATCACTATCCATCCCTCCGTCCATTGTGTCAAGCACCTTTGTACATTTGTTGCCATCATCATTCTCAAAACATTTGCTTTCTACTTGAGCTCTTGGTATCAGCTGGCTTTTTCCCCCCAACATTTTTATGGCACTGTGGCTTACACACATTGTGCTGCTAACAGCCAAGTTGGTGAATTAAAACCCCCAGCTGCTCTGCAGGAAAAGATGAAGCTGTGAATTCCTGGAAAGATTTACAGTCTTGGAACCCCCCCTCAAAGAGCACTACTCGGTTCTTGTTGGTAAGATGGGTATGTTGGTAAGATGGGTATGAGGTGGAAAGGCAAGGTGAGACTCAGATAAGTAAAATTTGAAAAAATTTTACCTTTGTCATGAGGGAAGGGGGAGCGGGGAGGGAGGGGAAAAATGAGGACCTAACGTCGGGGGTTTAAGTGGAGAGAAAATGTTTTGAGAATGAAGTACAAATGCGCTTTACACAATTGATGTGTGTATGGATTGTGATAAGAGTTGCATGAGCCCCTAATAAAATGTTTAAAAAAAAAAAAAAAGAAAAGTTAAAAGTAAAAAAAAAAAAAAGAAAACTGACTAGTCATAGTCATTTAAGATGTAACTATTGGTCTCACATCAGTAGTAAAGAACAGTGAAGAAAATGAAAAATGTACAGTAACAATTGAGAGACAAATGGGCCACGAGAATCTCTACCTCTGCAACCCTGAGACTAGAAAAACTAGATAGAGCGTGGCCACCCACTGCTGATTACTCTGAAAGGGATCCAAATAGGATGTCCTGGATAGAGTGAAACAAAAATGTGGAACAAATTAAAAAAAAAAAATTACCCGGCCTACTAGTCCAATAGACTGACAGAATCCTGAGACTATGGTTCTTAGATGCTCTTCAAGCCTAGAACTGAATCTTTACCCACGGTTTGACTTTCAGCCAAACAACAAACAGGCCTACAAGGTAAACAATAGTACCTGGGAGGCAAGTTATTCCTTAAAACAGCCAACCACCTGATATCCATGGGGCAGAATTTGCCAAAGGATTCAGCTTAGAAGGGAGGGTGGGATAGGAAAGAACAGTGAGTGGAACACAAAGAGAAAGTGGCAAGAGTGCTGTGATATGGTAGGGATTGCCATCAGTGTCATAAATAAGCATTTGTGTGAATGAATTATGGAACAGAAAGCTAATTTGCTCCATAAACTGTTACTCAAACTGTAACAAAAATTCCTTTCTTAAGGGGAAAAAATGACTAGTCATTAGAAACTAAACTTTATATTTGTATTTAATATGTTCTACTTTCTTTTTAATTAAGGTTTTTCTGTTTAGTTTTGTCATTGTTGTAGGGTTTTATTCATTTCCTGTTTGTGTTTTGTATCATTTTCTGAGTATGACATTCAGGATACGTAAATCTAGAGAGACAGCGACTGGCTTAATAATACCTAAGGGCATGGATGGGGAGGTTGGAAGGAAATTGGGAGCTAACAAGGATAAAAAGAAAACTTTAACAAATAAAATCCTTGACATGCTTACTTGGTTACAACATTCCCAAATAACAAAAGAATTCCAAAGTAAAGCTCAGGTGTCGAATTTGGCACCTTAGAGGCAAAGAAACTACTATTTACCTAAAATTAAGATTTTGAAGAGGGGGGGAAATGAAGTGGGAATCCGACAGACAGTAAAGCAACATGTAAACACACAAAACTTAAGTAACAAGAAAGAAGTCATAATGATTAAAATCTATTAAGTCTGTAATAGAGATACATCTGCTCCCTTAGTGGTGGATGTCTCAGAACTGAACTGGCCTTGCTACAAAACTAACTTCACTTAAGGGCTAGCCTGACTTTACCAAAATGCCTCTGGTCTTAGGCAAATCTTTCTTCTCTGGGAAGTTCACATGTTACTACCAAGTCATGATCTCTTGCAACAGCATAAAACATTGAAAGATTTCTTTTTGTACTCCCAAATCCCCACATCTACAATAACTTGTCTGTTGAACTAAAAAAAAACTAAATTCTGGGTGAAATATGCAATGTTCACATACCATTTAGTCGTCTCTGGAGTGCTTCTTCCTCAAGAGTAATAATATAAATCTGTTCATCCAAGTCTTCCAGAATCTAAATTTTAAAAACAAAGAATACATAAAAAACGAGTGCTGATGAGAATGTTTAGGATATTCTATTATTTGGATAATGTGGTCATGTAAATTACTGAGAATCCAATTAAAATGTTCTATTTTATTTATCAATAAAGATTATTTTAATATATAGTTAAACATCACAAATTATTAAAAAGACTACATGCATTTTATATTGGATATTTGTAAAGTTTAAAGGATAAATTAACGAGTTCTATTGTTCTCTCAATGATAACAAAATATGTGAATTTCATATAATCAAAAAGCTTTTAAACACAGTAATACTTTTCTATGCACAAGCCAACATTTAGAACTAGAAGGAATAGATCATCCACTCTAGCATTTGTTTTCTTATTTTTATTTACAGAATGTCTAAAATAGGAAATCTATATATTTAATCACTACCATGAAATATCCATTTACATCATCTTTCTGCAATAAAAATATTCCAATATAAATGTTAGTATTACCAAAACTACCCTATAAACAGAATAACCTAGAGAAATTATATGCTTAAATAGAAACCATTCACCATTAAGTCATACAACCCTACAATAAAAAAGGCACTAATTGATTTTCAAAGTATGAGATATAATCTTGGACCCTTAAAAATAAACAAAACCCTAAATTTGTTTAATTCTAGCTTTGTTAACACAGCTATCCTTCTATGAAATAATCCTAACTACTTTCTTGGCTCTGGGGAAAACTTAAAAGAATTCATATCATATCAATGCTCTGTATCAGTTCAATCTAAATTACTTATTCCTTGCTTCCTACCCCCACCCTCAAAAAAGGCAAAGAGTAAATAGACAAGAGGATAGAAATTCTATACATAAACTGTCTTTCAGCTCCCTTTTTAGGTATTTTTAGACAACCGATTCTCAAATAATATAATCCCTATTAGGTACAAAATTTATATAAAATTTATATTTTAAAACTCCCCAGTTTTCTGACAAATATTTATAGTTTATAGTCTCTCATGGCTTATATAAAGAGAGACATTGGTCATTATGAGTCATAATCAACTTAAAAGCAGGGAGGATTTATTTTTAGAGTTCTGGCTTATAACTTAACTAATCACTGGAATACGTAAGGTCAGTCTCTATCTTAATGTAGGCTAATAAATAAAATACAAATAAACTAATACACATACAATCATTAAGAATGACTATCCTGGAAGAGTACAGTTATGGAATGGGTAAAAAGGGGAAGTGAAGATCTACTTAAGGGAAGATCTTCTAGTTAGGAAGGTCATGAGAGACAATTTTCAAACTGAAAAGGGTCAAAACATGTGCTAGAATGTATGGTGGTTCTAAAAGTAGGAAAGCACTCAGTCCGTTGAAATGATGGGCAGGAATGCAGTGAATTAAGGGAAAAGTAAACAGGGTGGAGGTGAGACATAGAGACAATACCTTTGTGGTCCATGCATAAAAACCAAACTCACTGCCATTGAGTGGTTTCCGACTTATGGCAACCTTATAGAGCAGAGTAGAACTTCCCTGTGGATTTTGGAGAACATAAATCTTTACAGGAATAGAAAGCCTCAACTCTCTCCTCTGAGTGAGAACTGGTGGTTTCAAACTGCTGACTTTGCAGTTAGCAGCACAAAACATAATCCACACCACCAGTTTTTGGTTTGCTTTCCAATCAATTTTTCTCATCATATTCCACCATTTGGATCAGAATTGATCATTTTTACTTTTCTTAGCATCTGTTGTTTTTGTTTGCTATCAAGTTGATTCCAACTCATAGTGAGTCCTGTGACAAAATATAACTGGACATCCCTTGCAGAGGGGTAGTGGGGAGGAGATGAGTCACTCAGGGTTCAGTATAGCAACAATGAAACTCACAACCTTCCTCTAGTTCTTAAACGCTTCCTCCCCACAACTACCAA